TGCCACAGGTCATACAAAATGGAGGTCAACGCAGTGGCATTTGTGAGTATAGTGAATCTGTTCAAAAGGTTTAAAATTGTAGAGATTGGGACCCCGGAGACCGACGGAAATGAAATGGTCCAATATGGGAGCCAATGTAACGACACACGAAAAAACGCAGTCCGTCTACGTCAATGCCCCCCGCGATAATTGTCCGGCCTACCCGCGACGAACCGGGCGACAGTCAAAACACGGCGCACAATCAGTGAGTGGCTGACCCGAGTGACAGCCACTGTTTGGAAAAAAAACTATTTGAACTACAAAGCCATCAATCGATATGCTGTCATTCACATACGAAAAAATCAGGCGAAACCAGTACATCTAACTGATAGTGCTGTAGATAAGTGAACATTATCGTGCTGTGGCTGTGTAAAATGGAACCTATAGGCAGTACAATTATTGCTGTTGTCATTGTTTTGGGGTTGAAAGGATAGCAAGGTGAAATACTGTATCATTTGGGTAAATGCCTAGTTTCAGACAATGAACCGAAAACCAATTGGATGTTATTACTCGACCGATCCGGTTTTTTCAAACCAAAACTGTCAGATAGAGCCACACAAAATGAATGGGAAAACAAATGGCATGCGTGACTGATGTTAGGCGCTTGCTTCGGGCATTTGGTCCCCACGCGTTTATCTCCCTGTGTGTGTGTGTGTATGTATGTATTTGTGCGCGAGCGTACATTTCCGAGGGAATTCACAACTAGCCTGTTCTCTGTTCTCCTCTCCTCGTCTTCAGGGCATCATCGGACTACTTCATCTGGGCAATTTGACATGTTACATGGCACCAGCTATGGTGGACGGATTTGTGACCGGGGCTTCGGTACACGTGTTGACCAGTCAAATTTCTTCGTTATTTGGCGTGAAGGCAGCCGCAAAAAAGGAGGGAATTGGATCGTTATTTCTGGTGAGCCACGGTTTTGCACGGGTGCACATACAGGTATTGGGATGAATTGGTTGAAAGATAAACGTATAAATAAATGGAGATAGATCCATACATGCATAAGGAAATATAATACAGCCAAACAAACACAGATAGAGAGACAGACAGACAGACAAACAGACAGACAGACAGACAGACAGACAAACAGACACAGACAAATAGACAGACAGACAGGCAGATAAACATATCAAAATGATGAATAAATTGCCCATTGAATACAAATCTTTAGAGTTGTGCTTTTTACCAAAGGGGTGTGTAAATCGTGTGCAAGGTCATTAAAGTTTCCAAGACATTTCATATCAAATGAGCCAGCAAATATTAAACAGACGATTTTGTTTTCGAAATGAACACGCACTTTGATGATAATAAATGCTAATTCTCTCCAGAACGTTTTCCTAGCGCTGAAAAATCAGGCACATTGAATTCACTCATTTCACCCGATGATTTCGTGTCAGCGTCATCTGTCACTGATTTAATCATTTTTATCCAACGTGCTTTAGGATTACATTAATCCTACCATCCATATTTCTAAGCTTTTAAGGTTCATATCGGAATGGAAATAAAGAAAAAGTATCGACCGCCTTCAGTTATGACCTTGAAATGTTACTTTTCCATTTGCCAGCTTACAGTTTCCGTTTCCTAATGTTCCAACTAAATTTAGTTTGGGAGCAAGCTAGGTCAGACCCCACAGGATTAATCTAAATTCATTTATAAATGGAATTTGAACAAATTTTCGCTTAGTCCCTTGACGAGCCTCGTTGGGCTCGAAACCCGCGCTTAAGCACACAGGCTATGCGTACATTCTGCAGTAGCAGCTGAGTTAGGAGACCCGGTGATGAACGCCCTCATCTTTTTTCATCAGATCGCCTACTCGAGACGTAACTATGTGGACATATTAAGTGCATAATACAGAGTCAAAGTCGAAGTTTTCTTATGTAAATTACTCATAAGCTTCTCTTACAATGAATACTCTTACAATGCTTCTCTTGGCTTCCCATTGTATCCCAGCAAAAAATGGTAAATGTCACATGAAGTTCTGGGTAGGACATCACACATGATGTACATCATAGTCTTCAACTAATTTGCGTTTTTAATTGTGCAAGAATATGAGGTGTGCTAGGGTTTCATCAACAGTTGGTGCACAAACGATGGAAGATGGGAGAGTGTTCCAAGTGGTTTGGTGCACACTCCGGATAGAATATGGTTGTGTGGTAATTGTAGTAATAGTAGTAATAGTACGCAATGAACGTGGAATACGAATCACAGATTAGCAGTCACGGACGTCAAGTAAGTACTGGACTACACCAACACTAGTGCGCAATATCCCATGTAACCGAGACTCGAGGAAAAAGCTACAGGAGTAGTAGTTCGTTTATTGAAAGAAGTAAGGGGGATTAAAAAATGTATAAAACACACTCATTGGTCATCCGGGCCTCTGCTAATCGCGTTCCAGTATTTCTGGTGTTGTTCAGCTTTTGTCTGGGCCGCACGGTTTCTGATTGGCTGGCAAATCGATCAATGGTATGTAGTTCAGAAGCTGTGGCACGCGCGCGCTTTGTGACTTCACCCGTGAGGCTTGATTGATACCTGTTATCCTAAACCTGTAACATGTCACTCCGTGATATGCATCATCTCGCAGGCTGGGATCACCACAGGTTGACGTGTGGCATTCCACAGGACACTTTGGAATCAGCAAACCTAGATGATATTCCCGAAGGCGAATTGGGTTGGACGAAAATGGAGTCCATTCACTGTTCTCAATACGAGTCTCTTGTTTTGCCACTGCTTTGCACTCACCGCCGTCCGAAAAATGGGAGAATTTATTCCTCGCGCGAAATGGACGGTAAACCATTTTTGCTTCTTGGAGTATCTGACTTATAGTTAACCATCTATATTCGGACCAAGCTCTCCCAGGTCCATGATTTCGTACAATCTGATTTATCAAATTATGGAATAATACAAATTCAAGGTTTTATGAACCAAATAATAATAATAATAATTCGACGGGAAAATTGAATGAAGGAAACAATTCTTTCCAACCTTGCAAGTACATTTGAGTCACGCTCACCGTTAACATTACAATGTGATTACGTAATCCGTTCAGTCTGTGAAATGCATACTACTCATATCCCCTCAGTATGATCATCTCTAGACACAGTGCTCACAGCAATCTTCGGGCTCTTTTTTTACAATAGTTACTACTTACAGCACTGTCAAAGTGCGATAGTGAACAAACAGAAAAAATTCTCCACTCCATTTTGTCGGCATTTTTCACCATTTTTGGTTAATGATGAAGTTGCCGGGGTAATCACCAAAAGGGATTGTCAAGATGTAACAAAATGCGAATGAGCGATTTAATCTCCCCACTCTCATCCTAGTAAAAACCGCTAAATGGACCTGGAAGACTCAGTGAGTGATTCGGACAGGCAGATAAGGATAAAGCGAGGCAACTACTACGTATATCCACGGGCGGAATACTTAAAAACAAAAAAATGTACCATCTATTCATTAGCATTATTATTAACATTATGTCTACTGTCATATGCACCCAATCGCTTGACATCACCTATCCGCCGTTTACGTCATCTGGATACCGTAAGGCACAGGAAAACAGAATAAAACATATATTGAGCGATAAATCGAACGATCGAAATTGTCGTCCAGTTTTTGGAGGAGCGTAGAAAACCGATCTCCTGCATACGCGATTGGGAAAATGAAATAAGTTGGGTTTTGAGATGCTGTTGACTTCTATTTAACGATAGTGAAGATTGACACGGATTTTCAATTGGTTTTATTTTAATATAATCAGTTCCTTTTTTTAAAAGAACAACGTGACATCACAGACGGAACTGGCGACACAAGGGGATAGTAGTCGAATGTTACGTGCTTCGATCTGCCTACTTACACTATGGCTGGACCTCAGTTGGAACTGCATAATTATGGCTCTACCACAGTTTCCTTCCTCAATATTGATTGCTCTATTATGCACTCCTTTCAATGGACTAAAAACGATTTCTGTAGGACTACCATAAGTGACATCGCAGTTTCTTCCGCCTCAAATAAACGTGGTTCCAAAACAGCGAGTTCGATCAAATTTGCCCATCGTGTGAGCAAACTCGAATGGTAAATATCACAAAACGTGGATTAAGCAAATGTGGGACAGTGCCAGAATTACACAGATCTATCTGGTATTACAGTGAATTGGTAATACAGAGATTATTCATCGTAGTTACTTCACTGACAACGGTAACAGTGATGTAAACTGCTCACTGATCATCGACCACATTTTTACATTGGATCGATTTTCCGTCCCCTATCCGAAGCTCTTTTCCGGTGTAAGTAAAGGGATGAATCACATGCTCAACTGGATGGTTCTAATGTCATTTGCGAACAGATAATAATAATAATAATAATAATAAAAATATATGTGATCACTCACTCAGATGTTGAACTTTTAAGTGCTCCAAAGCTTGCGATTTGCAGTCTTTTTTTGGAGTAAATTGTTATACAGACCTTTTACCTTTTTGGTTGCTAATCTTCGTGGACGTTCTAGAACCTTCTTGCCACGGTTCAATCATAGATTCCATACTTGAACGGCGCATTCCCTGTGTGGCCGAATGAACGCTGATAGCAAGCGTGGGAACGGTGCTAGTTCAATCTACCCTAAAGCACTTTTAATTTGTCCAAATTGCTTCAGAGCCGTGGATGATACTCTTGAGACAATGTGTGGAACATCCTATTTCCCCCTGTGTAATAACTCCCAAATCTCTTTTATCGGTGACATGTGGGTGTATTTGGTTCCCCAGAAGATGAGAGAAACGAGTCTTGTGCCGCATAGAAATAACTTTGCATTGTAGAACGTTTAATTCAATGTTATTTGCGATTGACCATCGGTGGGCTTCATCGATCGTTTCCTAGAGTGCCAAATAATTCTCTGGATATGAACGCGGTTGGATTTCATTCAACCAAGTGGATGGAATTCCCAAACCGATTTGGGGTACTCTGACCGCTCATTATTTCTTTTTCAAGCGCTTCTAATCGAGTGCCTATAGGTGAACCAGATACAAAAACAACGGAGTTAGGCAGTTCAAGTTTAATGAATAGTAGGCGAATCGGACAGCATTTGCAAATGGGCTCAGCGAAGGCATTAACGAGTTCACTTTTGAGCTCAAGGCTCCTTACCACTCATGTTAATCCCTCTCCCACCGCTCGCGTTTGAAGGTATGAAAGTGTTCGCTCGTCGATTCATGCTCGCTGCTCACCTTTTTATGACATAAGATAATCTTTTTGTTTCAAAAAACATCCTCCCTTCGTCCTAGAGATTCGTATCTCCTCAGTCTGGTCCACTTTTCTGTCCAAACAATCCCAAAAGTGTTTAAATGGTCTGAGACCAAGGGGTCAGAGTGACCACCGGGGTGCTTCTGAGTGGACTCTGTAAATGATTGACAATCCCAGGATCAAATTGTTCTGAGCTCTTGCTCTCCCAGTGTCCTTCATAAACACCTTCACTTCTGAGCTCACCAGCTCAGTTGCTTACCGGCCCTCTCGGATGGTCGAAATATTTGGTCATCTTCTGGCTTCCTGATTCCCGTGTTCCAAATAATTGTACGCCAAACAATACTCACTTTTGTGAAGACTAAGAGAAGCCGAAAGAAAGAGTAAACGAATAGGCGTCGAACGATTGAAACCTAAACTTCTGTCTGACCTTCTTAGCAAATTGTATGGGATTCATTCATACGATGACACACAGCATATGATGCAAAATGCACAGCTTGGTTTGAAATATTCGGAATCGACGGGGTGGCCTCGGAACCGTAGTCTGTTTATCTAGGGCTAGGGAATCATTTTTGGGGAGCAGTGTACGAAGTGGTCTAGCCCGGATTACAGAAAATGATGTATGTTATTTTCACACACTCTCCATTGTCTTTAAGAAGCAGCTTGAGAGGCGACAGTTTTTTTTAATTACACACCTTGGGGTGATGAATAGCAGACGGGGTGAACCACCTAATCACGAGAAACTGGTGTTCAATGATGGAAACCAGTAACCTGAGCCTCGGGACTTGGAGTGGTAATCCACATAAAGCCCCATTAGGATAGGCGTGGCATTGAACAGAATGACAGCAAGGCTGCCTACTATCATTGTTGGGTAGCGGTTGAGGGGTTCGAACCATAGCGTCCAAAGTACGCCGGTGATAGCGATTAAACCACTGCGGCACGATTGCAATTGTCTTTTAGAGGTTCAGTTTGCCCGTTCCATTACCCACCCCTGTCCCTTGCTTGATACATGGGTTTGTGTTTAGCACATCATGTTTTTTTTCATTTTAACATTTGGGTAATGGACCACTTTCATGAACCTTAATATCAATAATTATAATGCTCATAATAGAAATTTTTTTATCATGAAAAAGTAAGCAACTCAATCTCTCTTCGAAGAGCATGATCCAGAATTGGGAATCCAAACTGATCGGATGCGAATGCACACCTCAAATGAGTTGATGCACAAATGATTCAGGTCGTTCGTTCATCGATCGATATCTGAAGAAATGATTTCCTGACATGTCGTCAACTCAGTCCTGTTTCTTACCCAAATACACTTATTTGTCCGACTTATCTTTTTTCCTGAGGTTAGTGAAATTGCTTGTCGTAGGAACTGAATGTGTCTGTGTAGGTTAAGCCTTTGTTTCATCGATTACTTTCAATTTCATGAACTATTCTTCTGTTTGGAAAGAGTGCACATCATAAAACAACATTTGGAGAATTTTAAGTGAGTAATGGAGAATTGAATTCAATTTCATAGGTAAATTGGTTGCATATATAACAAATGAAGCGTGAACTAAAAAGCTAGGAAGCACTAGATAGCAGTTTCAACCTGGTTGGGTCTTACCAGTAGTGCAAATCCATTGACCC